ATATATAAGTTTCCATTGCATGGACATAGGTAAGGTGGTGTGAATAGACCATGGGAGTCCACACACCAATGAGCAAACATTGTGATATACAGGCAGCTTTTGAAACTTAGCACCCCCATCACACCTTATTCAAATCTCAAATCTGCAAAAGAATGACTCAGCTACCCACCTCCAATCCAGCTTCAAAATCGAACTAATCCAGAGACTTTACCAAAGGAAAAATAGGAGCTTAAGCAAAAAGAAGTGAAATCTACTCCCTCACTGAGCAACAGAAGTAAAGAAAAAAGAAAAACCTGTCACAAATGAAGAGAAGACAAATAAAAAATGCAGGCACCAAACAAAGTCTAAAAATGATAGTCTGCAAGAATACAGACTTCATAACTCAAACAATGAAGAGCACCCAGATCAACTGGTTTCAGACCACAAATGTAGAGATCAAAGAATGGTTGGAAAGATGAATAACAGCAAAGACAAAAACATGAAATAATTAATTATTGAGATGCAAGCGACAAAGAATACAGCAAATGGTATAAATAATAAACTGACAAGCATGGAAAGCTGAATTAACAAAGCAGAAAAAAGAATCTCAGAGCCTGAAGACCAAAATATGGAACTAATCCAGTCTTTTAAAAACATAGAAAGGAGCTGGGCTTGGTGGCTCAGCCTGTAACCCCACGTCTTTGGGAGGCTGAGGTGAGTGGATTGCCTAAGCCCACGGGTTTGAGATCTGCCTGGGCAGCAAGACCTCATCTCTACAATAAATCAAAAAATCAGCTGGGCGTGGTAGCGCGCACCTATAATTCCGGCTACTCAGAAGGCTGAGGCGGAAGGATGGCTGGAGCCCAGCAGGTGAGGCTGCGGTGGCTGGGAGCGGCCACTGCACTCCAGTTTTGGTGACAGAGTGAGACTCCAACTCAAAAAAAACAAAAAAACAATCAAGCCTCAACTTTTTAAACTTTTTTAAAAAGTTTTAAGCATGATTTTTTCTATGTATTAACCAAATTTTTTCTATGTATTACTCAATTTTCAAGTTCCTAAGTCATGGTTAATGAATATATACATTTATAGATACTGTAAAGATTCACAATATGGAAAGTTACATTAAGTGAAAAATATTTCAAGTGTGCATAACTTCATATTTTTAAATGCATGGGAACAACAGTAATTCATATTGCTTACTCATCTGTCTATCTCCATAGCTGATGGCTTCCGCCAGAGGGCTCCATCCCTGAGCATTTTTCACCTTTACTGGAGCATTGTGAGCCAAAAGTAAATGGGCACATTCTGCAATATAAAGTATTAATAACATCAACAATCATTTAATTTTTAAAATCTTTAAATACAAATATTATGGAAAAGTTTAATAGACCAAATTAATATAAACAGACCTATAAAAAATTATATTATGCAGAATTAAGTAATTTAAAAAATTCCTATGCATCTAAGCCAGATTATTTCAGATCCTAAAGTCAAGAAGTATTCATTCCACTACCTAATAAGATACTGATTATTACATTCCCTAATAGCTGTTCCCTCAGCATTGAGACTATACACATACTCTAAAAGATAACATAAGTACATCAAATATCTATTATCTAACAAACCCCAAAAGAGGATATGTATTTCTATAATGTCAAACAGAAAGCTCATTTCAGACAAAAAAGTATTTTCAAAAAGGATCAGTAATGTTTCCACAAACACTTTTCAAATTTTATAATTTTTTTGGTTTGAAAAAATGCCCAATAAAGAGCAAAACCTTTTTTTTTTTTTTTTTTTTTTAATGGTTACAAAGACAACTCTGGACAGTTTCAAGTAATCAAAAGAAATCTAATGTATAGACCTTTCCATAGATTGAGAAAACCTTTTTAAAAATTAAAAACACAAAAAATTAACAGGAAAAAAATTAAAACTGGGGCTCATGGAATATTTAGGTAAGACAGCTATCATTCACTCATTCATTCAGCAAATATTTACCAAATGTCTACTATATGCTATTTCTAAAAACCAAGTGCTGGATATAACCAGTGAAGAAAAAAGATTAGGTCTTGCTACCAGAGAGCTTACATCCTATGTTAGAAAACGGTATGTAAATTAACAAAAATAAGAGGTAATAACAACACAAAATAATGATAAAAGCTCTGAAGAAAATAAGGGATTTGGGGGGTTGTTATAGGATAAAGTGGAGGAAGAATGGCACTATTAGTACTAATACTAGTGACAGATAAAACAGCTATAACACAAAAAAACTTTATTAGAATAAAGTAAAATAAATGAAGAAATCATAGAAATGCAGAGGTATCCAAGTCTACTAATGACATAAGAATGTATGCACAGGCCAGGCTCAGAGGTTCAGCCTGTCATCCCAGCACTTTGGGAGGCCGAGTCAAGTGGATTACCCGAGCCCAAGGTTTTGAGACCAGTCCAGGGAATTTGGCGAGATCTCGTCTCCACAATAAATCAAAAATTACCTAACATGGTAGAGTGCACCTGTAGTTCCAACTACTGGGAAGGCTGAGGAGGAGGGATGGCTGGAGCCCAGCAGGTCGACGCTGGGGTGGCTGTGAGTGTGCCACTGCACACTCCAGCATGGGCGACAGAGTAAGACTCCAACTCAAAAAAAAAAAAAGAAAAAAAAAGAATGTATGTACAAAAATATTTATTTTAATGTTTGTAGTGGTTCTTATACTGGATACAAAGTGATGTCTAGCATAGAGTAATAGACATACATTACATCTACATTACTGGGACAAAATACTGTCATTTTAAAAAACAGATTCATTATCAAAATGACAGAGGAGGCAGTTTGAACAGTCAGTCACTAGCCAAATTTGAGGAAATCAGCATCAAAAGAATAATGACTAACTTAAAAAAAAATGATAAGCCCACAACACGAAAAAATTAAAGAGCAGGCAATAAGTCCCTCTTAACAGAAAAATAATGTAATGTTAGCTAATAAATGTAGAAGAAATGATAAATTTACAATTCCCATATAATAACTGATTTAGGCAAAGGTTCAAACCTATAATTCTAGCACTTTGGGAGACTGAGGTGTGAGGACTGCCAGAATCCAGGGGTTCGAGACCAGCCTGGGCAACTTGGTGAGACCTCATCTCTACAATAAATCAAAAAATTAGTTGAGTGTAGTGGTGCACGCCTGTGGTTGCAGCTACTTGGAAGGCTGAGGCAGAAGGATCACCTGAGCCCAGCAGGTTGCAGTGGCCATAAGCATGCCACTGCACCCCAGCCTGGGTGACAGAGTGAGACTCCAATGCAAAAAAAAAAAAAGGTTCTTAATTAATGCTAAAATCACTGAGTAAAAGGTTACATGCTAAGAAACAGGATATTTATAATAGTACCAAAGTATTACCCCAAGATTACTGATTATTGACTAACTACAAACAGAAAAATGTTCTTTTACAGTGGATATATATATATAGATCGTCACCTTAAACAAGTGATCAAACTTAACAGCATTGCTATTAGAATAACCTGACACTGTGTGTTTCCTAATGTGATGCAATATAAAGTTTATAACACCAACTGATGTAGTATTCTCCCCAGAAATGTTTAATCTGAAACTAATCAAGACTCAAAAGCTAATTTTTGATTCACACACACACACACACACACACACACACACA